CATCGACATAAACTTACATTTATATTCTCAGTAATCTCTACCGTTTGAAATTAAAACTATTATTATTATTATTATTGTTGTTGTTGTTGTTATACTGGTATTGTCATTTCTTATTATTATTTTTCCATTCTACTCAATGACTATTCAGTTTACAGGGATTTTATTTGTGTTATTACTATTATCTGACCAAGATCTGTACTTTTCGCATATGTCTAGCAGTAAGTAAGCTACAGGCTATTCTTGAAATCTGTTTTGCTGGGGGGGGGGGGGGGGGGAGTGGGGGGGGGGGGGGGGGGGGGGTTCGTCATGACACACAGCAGCCACAACAGCACTTATGTTTTATTTATTTTTTCCTTTTTATTCGAAACATCCCCAAACGCATTAACTATATCATGAAATATCTTGATTCTCACCTTTATAGATAATGTTGATCTATAGTGGGCGATGGTCAAAGTAACCTAATAATGTAATCTATTAACTATGCATAAAAACCTGTCTGTTTACTTAACAGATATGGGTGTCATGCCATAACATATTTTTAATACGACTGAGTTTATATTTAATGTGAATTTTATATCTAATCATAACACTTTCATTGTACAGAAAGAGAGCAAAGAACATTTACATTAAAGAACATTTTCACTGACAGCCTAGAGTTCAAGCCCTCTCAAAAACTCCCATTAAAATCACTGAAGCTGTTGACACTGCATGAATATCTTACTTATTTATACACACATCTGCACTTTGTCGTTTCTAATGAGAGAATTCGCCAGAAAGAGGTATTCAGTCAGCGAGCGAGTGAACAAAACACCGGCATTTTAGCAATGACTCATCGCAAAACACCTCTGATTGGCCATTGCATTCATAAGCGCAACAACATCGTGTGTGATTGGTTATAATGTGCAGCGCTGTAAAAACGTGTCTGTATCTGGCTCAGCGCCAGCCAGCGAAGCAGATTTTAATTTAGCAGCTGATGATATGACGCACTGAACATTATAATCACGCCGGTGTGATTGTATTAAATATAGAAAATATTAATCTGCTATTTTTTGTCTTTTGGAAGCTGCATTCAAAATCCACTTGGCTCAAAAATCCGAGAGGGGCACGTGCCCTCATCACTTTGAATGGGTCTTATACATACATTTTTTTTTAATAATGTAATGATATACTTTTGAATACATCCCAAGTGTTAAATGAACACTGCTGGTGTTTATAAAGTATAATCCACACTTATTAAAATTGGGGAGGGCGAGATATAAATACTAATTGAAAAGAAGGTGGTTTTTAATCTGTTAAATACTTGTGGTTTATATTATTAGATTTTGTTTCATTGAATAACGCACATTTCATGAAGCCTAAGCATATTAAGAACTAAATGCATCATGCGCGCTTTATTCTCTTCCTTGAATTGTGTGGACTGAAAGTGTATGTCTTTACTGCGCATTTTCCAGTAAAATCGGGTGATCTAAGTGTGTTCAGAAATGTCCAAAAACAGAGAGAAATTCTTATTTATTTTTAACGGACATTAGGCATTACATAAGGCAAAAGCAATAACTGAACCAGCATGGACACTGCTCGAGTCCTCTGAAACCCTATTTTCTTTTCTTTTTTATTTCTGTGCTTCTCCACGTTTTCTCTAAAACGCGTGAAACTATATCGATGTTGCCGGAGCTCATTCATGTTCATGATAATCTCTCATGTTTATAACATCTCTTCAGTGATATATAAATCAGTCTCTTGAAATATCTTGTTTTCTCTCTTTTTTCCTGGAGCAGGATCAAATGTTTGATGGATCTTGCGTTATATTGCCTCCACGCTTTTCTTTGATTCAAGGATCAAGTGTTTGCCGTTATTAATGCCTAGTATCCATTACGGAACTGCCCAGAACATTGCTGTGTATGTCTCCATGAATCAAACGGCCTTTCAACAAATGGTTTTGTGTCGATCTTCCAGATAAGTCTTTATATCATATTGCTATTTTGAGAGTGACATGTAGCATCAATACAAACATTTCTTGAGAAAGAAACATTTATACAAATACTATGAAGAGTCTCTTGTTGCTTCATATATAGGCTAATTTTACAGTTTCCCTGCATCAATATATTGATGATCCACTGCCACTCGGAAGTCTTGTAAAAAAGTCGCCCATAAGATAATAACGACTGTTTTACGTGATGACCCTGACGGTTTGCGCATCCTTTGAGGCTCGATGGAATTTCGCCCTAATTACGGCACATCCCCCCGTTGCTGCAGCAACTCGGTCATAAAACCCGTCTTAGTCTGGAGCATTTGTAGAATTGGAGTGAGGTGCCATAAACCGTCTGAGAACCAAGGTTATTAACTGTGACTAAGAGCTCGAAAACAACGGCTGGAACCATTGAAAGCTTGTGTTCACGGACTTTTCCGCCATCATTTGTCTCAGTGTCCCATCATGGCACCACGGCTGGATCGCTCACTATTTCGCTCTTTCGACGATACATTTCTTGTCCACTGGGTGGCGCACTTTAGATCAATGTCATTGCCGGGTATCAAAATACAATGCTGAAACATGTTTACTTTGTGTACGGGCAAAGGACAACGTCTTCGTGAACTATACAAAGGCAATCTTTCAGGTAAATAGCCAAGCTACCATTCGGGAATTTTTGTCAGCATTGTATTCACTTATTATAATTTTTAGATGATGATATAGGCTAACATTTTAATGTTCAAAACGTAGCCTGCAAGTAAAGTTTGTTTCATGATAAAAAAACATTTTCATTTAAAAATTATATACAGTTATATTAGTCTCAGAGTATTTGTTTGTTCCAATTTGACCAGAGACTTTTTTTTTTTTTATTATTAAGAAATTGTAAGAAATTGGAGACATGTTTTGATTCTCGGCTTGTTACAGTTTTACAATTTTGCGTTTTAATTGTATTGTTCTAAAATGTTTTCTGCGCCATATAAAATCAAGAAGTCTTTAGCAAATTGTGATGCGTTCAATGAAAAACAAAATGATCTAATCTTTATTGGCTAATTAAAATTCAAATGACTTTGAAAACAATAGCTACCCGACTTAAGCCCCTTTGATTTCTTAATGCAATGCAATGGAAATAAATGTTTTCCAACAGCCGAAAAGATACATTTCAAATAATAATTTGTCAATTGCCCATTTTTCCCTTTAACATAGACTACATTTCAGCTTATGGAGCGTGATAAGAACTTCTTTTATGGTAACATTGTCATTAGTTAGTTACAGTAAAAACTTCCACTAGACAGAGTGAATTAAAACATGATTATTGGAGCAGGGACAACTTGACTATGAAGAAAATTAGGTTTAGGCTACTTTGATGTGAGTATACCTATTTTTTTTTTTCTTCGACCCGAGTCATCTAATTACTGAAGTTGTGATATTTGGTCGATATTTAAAATTGCATGCTGATGCTCATGTGCATTTAAAAAAAACATAAATATGCTAATTCCAACTATAGGACGAATAATCCTATGAGCAAAGAAACAGGCCTATTTGTGAATATATCTGTGGAGTAGGCTATTTTTGAAAGCGTAAAAACAGTTGGAAAGAAAGTTCAGAGATAGAGCAATAAATTACCATTTTCCACATAACATTAAGCAACATAGGCTGACAAGAAACTTAAATGTGATACTTAAATGCACAAAACCAGTCTTAAGTCGCTGGGGTATATCTGTAGCAATAGCGAAAAATACATTGTATGGGTCAAAATGATCGATTTTCTTTTATGCAAAAAATCAATAGGATATTAAGTAAAGATCACGTTCCATGAAGATATTTTGTAAATTTCCTACCGTAATATCTCAAAACTTAATTTTTGATTAGTAATATGCATTGCTAAGGACTTACTTTAGACTATTTTAAAGGCGATTTTCTCAATATATTGATTTTTTTTGGTTTGTTTTTGCACCCACAGATTTTCAAATAGTTGCATCTCGGCCAAATATTGTACAAACCATACATCAGTGGAATGATTATTTATTCAGCTTTCAGATAACGTATAAATCTCAATTTCGAAAAATGTAACCTTATGACTGGTTTTGTGGTCCAGGGTCACAAATGAAAAAACAACACAAACCCGAGAGATACATTTAGAATTATATTTCATGTAATTAAATGCAAATCAAATGACAAATACATACAACGGCGGCCTCGACATCACACAGGCTGATTTTCAGATAAATGATAATAGGCCATCTCCTGAACGCCAAAGGTAGGCAAAGGTAAATTTAATCACATACAACATTTGCGTCAAAAATGGCTATTGTTAAATCATTTAGTAAACGTTATGGGATTGTGGTTAGATTTATTAAAAAAGAATAGCCTTTAAACGATTTTTTACTGTTAACCCGTAACTCAGTATTGTAATATAAAGCTTATATATAGGCCTGTATGTAACTTTAAGATTATCACATGCTAACTCTTTATTCTACAGTATAGAAATCCACATCCACCACATAAAGTGTTTCTGAAAAGCAGACTGAAAGCCACCTCTCGTTTTGAACTTGAGTGTAGTAAATACATTGTTTTGACCCACCGCATGCATGAAAACCAGAAGAGCAGTCTGTAACTCACTGTTTATGTGCTTAAAGGGCTGTTGGGGCAATTACAGTGTATCATAAAGGTTTACTATTTTAGCACTCGATCTCCTTTTCGATACCTTGTTGCTTTTTGGTTTTATATAGGCTACGTGGCTCACAAGGCTTTGCGGCTAAGCGGCAATGTCAGCGTTAACGAAGTCAGTGGTCGTAAACATAATGCTGTTCACGTGAAATTCTGGTTTTATTCGTTTATATTTTCAAAAACGACTGATCGGGTTTATGTAGATTTGACTTAAAAAAAATCGAGTAGCTTGAAAAAGATATGGGACACAGGGTTACGTGCACACAGAGGGAGGAGTCATAGGTGCTCGTTGCGATTTAATTGGCTGTTAGCTCACACTGAGTTGTATAGTTATCAGTAATTATATTCAGCATGTTTTGCACAAGAAATGTCATCCAGAAAGGGCAATCTTCTTCCACCGTCAAATTATACCACAAAGATGTCATGCTCCGATAGTCCATCTGGAAATTCGTTTCTGGTAGACTCCTTGATCCACGGAAGGGCCGAGGGAAGTGGACACTACTACCAAAACAGCGGAGTCTACTTGCAGCCGAGCTCCGAGTATTCTTATGGACTGTCTAACTGTGGCTATTTCTCATCATGCTGTTTATGACCTCTTGAGATTGTAATCACATGCTTTGATTTATTTAATGTTAATTTTCTTGCATAGGCGGAGAGTTTGTAATAATTGTTATAATATTGTTATAATGCCTAACAAGAAACGTTCTATTACTCTTCCCACAAGAAACGACAGATAAAGCGTCTTCAGTGCTGTAGAACAAAATAATGATTACAAATGAACTGAATAATCAGATAATTCACAAAAACTGAATCAATAAATCGCAACTCAGTTCATATACTATTAATATGGCGACGCACATTAGTATCACAAGAGTCATAGGCCTATTTTACATGTTAAATGAAAAAGGATTATGTGAGAATGTATTTACGTATGTACAACAGCATGTGGAATGATTGTATGGATATTACACGTTGTTGATAGTAGCTATTATTAGTTTAGTGATTAAATAAAATTCATTAGGCGTATGTGGTCACTGCAGCCCATTGCAAAATGTTGTGAAATGGGGGCCGCGTTTGGACATTTTGGACTAATGTTGTCTCAAATTTGCAGCAGGAGATTCCAAAAGTGGCAATACAGCTAACTGGCTGACGGCGAAGAGTGGCCGTAAGAAGCGTTGCCCCTACACCAAACATCAGACTCTAGAGCTGGAGAAAGAGTTCCTCTTCAACATGTACTTGACACGAGAGCGTCGCCTCGAGATCAGCCGCAGTGTTCACCTCACGGACAGACAAGTCAAAATCTGGTTTCAGAACCGACGGATGAAGCTGAAGAAGATGAGTCGAGAAAACCGAATCCGAGAGTTGTCGGCCAACTTCAGTTTTTCATGAAGCCTCCTCGCTTTATAGATCTCTGGCGCCCTCCTCCATCAGCTGCAGTGGTAGCCTACTTACAACAAACCGTCTCCGTAGGTGTGTGTGCATATATGACTTGTGCAATATACTATTGATAACTTATTGTGTGTCGTATACTGTTGACGTTTTTATCTGTTTATGTATAATTTTATTTGACAACCCAGTCGTCATAACATGTCATGGTTATTTATAAACTGTCAAGAGGAGCCTACTTCACTGTAAAAGCAAGAGAGGAAAATAACGAATGCTGAAGGTGTTCATTGTACATAGCATTCAGACTATATTGTACATTTATTGTATATAACTGCGGTATTTGCATGTTGTAATAATAACTATTATGAAACCCTTTTTAAATAATAACGACACGTTTCTTCTAAGTACGACGTTGTCAGGTATTTGCTGTTCTAGGCATAAGTGGAAAAATCCGGTTAAAATGTAGAAACTTCTAAACATGACGGGACTTGTATTATTTTAACAGCACTCAAATGTACCATCTTTTTGGAAACATAAGCTAAAGAGATGGTCTCAGATGTAAATTAATTATTCACACAGGGCAGAAAATAAATAAAGGCATGTACCTAAACTCATCTTAGCCTACTTTTAAAGACAATTCTTGTAGTCCAAAACAATCTTGATTTTCTGAGCTTTTTTATAACGGGGATTTTTTTGTGCAAGGACTGTAATTTTACTGACTGTAAAATGTAATGATTTATATAATTATCTACACAGTCAGTACTGGTCCCGTCATAAGTCACACAAAAATGATTACAATCATTCCTATAGCAATTCTATTTTTTTTTTTTTTGTCACAAAATTTTTGGAACCCCCCCCCCCCCCCCCCCAAAAACAATTTGTCTAAAAAAGGGGTAGTTGAATTGGACTGCGTATACTGGCTAGATGCCTATACAATGACATGGCAACGCGTTTGGGATTTTATTTGTTTTATTGCAAACAGTACACCTATTAAAAACTGGATACAGAAATTCTACAGTAACGCTTCTCAAATAACCATTCTTGTTACGCTTGGTTATTAGATGCTGAAGCTTAACAACATGAATAAAATCAAATCCACCTTCATAAAAGCATATGGCTATACCATTAAAAATATGACTTGTAAAATGGAGGCCATTTAACCGTGTGCACTGGTTAGGCTTCCCCCTTTATCTCCCACAGTCACGTGTCTAGCACATCCAATCCAGTCTCTGCAGTGATTCAACTTATCAGAGGTCTGTAGTTCACAGCGAAGTCAAGTAGTTAGTTACTTGATTTCAACGGATTCTGCTTTTGTGTCAGTTTCATTGTGGGTGTATCCGTTCGCCTGTGCTCTCTTTGCTTGTTTTTGTTATGTCGACATTGGGGACACTGAGTTACTACGCTGACTCACACATTCCACACGAGAATGACGATCATTTGGCACCGAGGTTCTCATCTGGACCCGTGGTCCACCAGCAGGCTCGGGAACTGACGCTACTTGAATATGGCGAACAGGATCAATACACTTTCCAACCCAAATCATCCATTTTTGGCGCGTCATGGAGTACCGTGCCCATGCAGCCCCCTGGCACATCTATCGCCTACCACCCGTACATTCATCACCCATGCTCAACAGGAGAAACCGATGGAGCATCCGTGCGTTCCTGGGCGTTAGAACCGCTGCCTGCCCTGCCTTTCACGGGATTACCCACAGATACACACCATGATATAAAACTTGAACCACTGGTTGGGAGTGGTGAGTGCACCACGCATACATTGCTTGTGGCCGAGACTGACAACAATACGACCCAAGCAGAGAGGAAGATAACAGACGATGCGCTTTCCAACGGATCACAGGACGAGAAAGCTCCAGCAGCGACAAAGGTGGATCTAGACCCAAGTAAGTGCAGCTAAATTTATATCAGAATGCGTCCGAATATGTAGGATACAGTTAGGCTACTTTTACCTTAACAGATTAATTCAGTAGGCGTCGTTTGTATATAATATAAAAAGTAGCTATAATCTATAAAAAGCTAGTCTTTTGTGAGAGACGTGAACAATTGCCTGTTTATTGTAGTTAAATATTCCTATATTGTACAGTATTTTCAGTATAGGTTATAAGGAAGGCTAAAGGTCTTCTAACTAGGCCTTTCTTTCTTCTTTCGTTATGTGGGTGCAATAATATGCAAGTTTCGATGGAATGTGTCCAGTATTAAAAAAATGCCACATATTTGCAGTAGCTACATGTAATCATTAGACTGCATGTCATGTAACATTTAACAAGACTGCTATCCTACACATTACAATCGATTAAATGTTACGCAAAAGATATGGATATAAACGCACAATTGTTGCCATAAAACATACAATCTGGATTTCTGAGCATTTTGTTTCTTCTGATAAGACAGCAAGGCCGTTGTTTATCCCTCATTCGGTGATGCCAAAATTGCCAGTAGCTAGGAAGAAAATTATAGCTTGCACATAAAATTTTCGATCATATAAAACCCACCCGCAGCCCAGATGCATGTAATCCGTGATTGCGCTTTCCCATTTCAGCATATCAAAATTGTATCGTAGCCTTTATATTAGACTATTCTTTCTTCTCGCACACTGATCATAAAATGGCCGCAGTATTTTTTCATGTGGCAACATGACTAGCTCTCTCTCTCCGACCCTTCTTGCAGATAACCCTGCGTCCAACTGGCTGCATGCGAAGTCCACTAGGAAAAAGCGCTGTCCATACACTAAGCATCAAACTCTTGAGCTGGAGAAAGAATTTCTGTTCAATATGTACCTCTCACGCGACCGTAGATACGAAGTGGCAAGACTCCTAAATCTCACCGAGAGACAAGTCAAAATTTGGTTCCAAAACCGTAGGATGAAGATGAAGAAATGCAATAAAGATCGTCCAAAAGACATTTAAAAGAGGAAAGCTATAAATGCGCACTGCAGTGGATTAAGTTATTTGGTTCGTGCGAAGGTGTTTGTGAATTAGCCTGTCTTTTTCCTCATGCACAACCACAGTAGATTATTATTGATAGCCTACATTTTGTAATGTTGGATGTACATTGCACAAACCTTTGATCTGGGTATGCTTGTATATATAATTGTGTCTTTGTATACAGCTCGTTGGTGATAGTTCTCTTATTTGGTTTGCTTGTTGTAAGTCTAGCATTTCGCATTCTGTACATTTCAAATATGTTAAAAAATATATATTTTTAAAAGTTTTTAAAGCACCAGTTCATGATTTCAGGGAAATGTGTTCTGCGATGTTGAAATGCTGATGATATGCATGACTTTTTTTTAATTCAAAAATGACTTGTAGCGTAATGTATCAATGTTTAATGTGACTACCTAGATGTATTTGAACTACCTATGTATTAAGATTAATTTATGTTGTGTTGTTCGTCATTGAAATATTTCAGTGAATTCTGTAACATTTACGTGCTTGTAATGTTATATGTGAACACATAAATTGCATACGCCAATACCTCAAATCAACACAGTGTTTAGTCGTTTTCAAATTAAATTCCACTTGTGTAAATAAATACATTTCTGATAAATAATCAATTTCGTTAAGACTCTCTATGCCAATGGTCTGGGTAAATATATACGAAAATAATAGCCTCCTTTTTTTTCTTGGGCTACACTCATGCCTAATGAAGTGCAAATCTGCGACATTGCAATAAGTTGTCACTAATAATTGCAGTCCTGTATTTCTGTGCCATACAGCACATAAAGTTCCAGACTCATGAAAGACTCTACATAAATAAATCGTTCCTGAACGAGGTTGACAATGACTGCAATCCCGTGGTATTTTTACGCTATACAACGAGAAATATTTGACCGCCCTCCAAACAGTTTTACACTTCTCATGTTCTACCGTTATCTTGCAACCCACTGTTTAGTGTCCTGTTAACGGCCCGGATGCCGTTTATCCGAATAAATAAAGCTTAGTTTGATGCTCGTAGACAGGCCTGCACATTCTATTTGTGCCTTGCCCCTGCAAGCGATATTAGTGGCCGTGCGGCAATAAACCACAATCACAGTCTTAACTGTTTATGGGGTGCAAAGCGATTGAAGGCGGAACTGGAACGACTTTTTGGACGCCCAACGCCTATATTACAATTACAATTACAGTAACACATGATATATTTTATGCAATTTTTAAAATTATTTTGTATTTTCGTATTTAATTATTTAATAAACACACAAAATATTGAAAAACAGAAAAAGAAAAACTCTGTTGCAGACCAAATCCGCGCTCATTCTACCGTTATCTTGCAACCCACTGTTTAGTGTCCTGTTAACGGCCCGGATGCCGTTTATCCGAATAAATAAAGCTTAGTTTGATGCTCGTAGACAGGCCTGCACATTCTATTTGTGCCTTGCCCCTGCAAGCGATATTAGTGGCTGCGCGGCAATAAACCACAATCACAGTCTTAACTGTTTATGGGGTGCAAAGCGATTGAAGGCGGAACTGGAACGACTTTTTGGACGCCCAACGCCTATATTACAATTACAATTACAATTACAGTAACACATGATATATTTTATGCAATTTTTAAAATTATTTTGTATTTTCGTATTTAATTATTTAATAAACACACAAAATATTGAAAAACAGAAAAAGAAAAACTCTGTTGCAGACCAAATCTTCAAAGGCTCTACCCCAGACAGCGTCGTAAAATGGGGCTCAGCCCCACTGTCTGTTTTATCTCTGCTAATTACTTTATTACTCCTCAGCAACAATTAAAACGTTGCAGAACTGATCACCCATTTGTTGCCTCGTCGTGCATAAAGTGACAACGGAAACACAACCTATTGACGCATTGTACTTTTCTTGCGTCTAATATCATTGCTACTCTGCATTTTGGTCACTTAAACTTCAACATGCAAAAGAAATTGAAGCATTGTTTTAAAGTGAATGTTTAGCCTACATTACGTGAATGTTTAAGATGGCGCATAAAATACTCTTGTTAGTTTTTTTAACCGTAAAGATGAATCACAAATGTGCACTCGTTTTGTCTAAATGGCATAACTAGGAATTCTAAATATTTCCATT